AGGGCACTGGTGCAGGCTGGGTAATTGCCTCGTAGCTCCCTCCTGCCTCTGGCTGTTTGTTTTGGCAGGAGAAGAAAGAGCGCAGGCCTTGCGGAAATCACCCATGAGCCGTCAGCACTTCCTGTCCCTGCAGAGTGGTGCTGGAGTTAACAGGAGACAGAAGGAGACAGTTATCACACTCTTTTATACCGAAAAGAAATATATTTTTACTGGCCTGGTCAATTTCTAGTCACACGTTTTGTTGCACTGTTTATAAAGTTCATATTTCATCATATCTCAATAGTTGCTTGATTGCTATCATCATCATTATGATGACGTATTTCAAGCAATACTGTTGTGCCTTTCAAACTTCCATGGAAAAATCTTCTGGCAAAAACATCACATTTTATCAGAAGAAGAAAACTTGGTAGGCAGCTGGTTTTGTTGTGCCCATAAAGAACGCTATATATTCTCGCTTTCATTTTAATAGTTCCCTTCATTACCAACAATGCTGTTCGACTCCATACTGATAGCGGTGCCAGTGTGATTTTATCCCTCGTTTCATCTCTACCTACAGAGAGTGATGTGGCGGCACTTTAGTCCTTTATTCTGTCCAGCTCATTCACCTCCTCCACTGTACACTCTGCTCAAGCTGATCAGCTTCCAGAACGTCAACATTTCATGCTAATACTGCTGTCAAAACCATTGCGCTTGTCGTGCATCGTGTACGTCGCTAACTTTCCAAGTCGGGTTTCTGCCATGCATAACTCGGCTCAACTGCATTCTGCAGCTGCACTGCATTCTGGGACTTTGAGTCTAACGTTTGCACCGGCTCCTTTACTACGTCATTGTTGGATTTCTCAATACTGGGATGTTGAACATCACGTGGTAACAGTGAGTGAGAAAAGAAGCTGTTGCGCTTTTATTTATGAGAGAAAAACAGTGAAACCTGACTGTTATCTCTCCTATTTGAGATTGTCGAAGTCACAGGAATAACAAAAACACAGCACCAACCAACAAATTAGCGCCAGAATCACACATCAGAAATGTAATGAGTCTTTGTTAGTCACATGTACATTACAGCACAGTGAAATTCTTTTTTTCTGCATATCTCAGCATGTTAGGAGGTTGGGGTCAGAGCGCAGGCTCAGCCATGATACAGCGCCCCTGGAGCAGAGAGGGTTAAGGGCCTTGCTCAAGGGCCCAACAATGCCAGCTTGGCAGTGCTGGGGCTTGTCCCCCAACCTTCCGATCAGTAACCTAGAGCCTTGCAGTGCTGGGGCTTGACCCCCCGATCTTCCGATCAGTAACCCATAGCCATAACTGTCAAGCCACCACTTCCCCCATCAAGCCACCACTTCCCCCATCAAGCCACCACTGCCCCCGTCAAGCCACAACTGCCTATACGGTGGATAAACTAATAGGAAAAGTATGTAATTACAACAATAAGGAATAGTAACTGGTGTCTTGAATCTACTAGGAATTTAAATATTTGAGATAAAAGATTTATTATAAAATGTTAATTCAACAATGCAAAAGTATTCCCTGCTGGACAAAAGTTAGAACACATGAAGGTTCTTAGGATTTTTTTTTTTTTCTTTTTTACACTTTAATCTCTATTATTCCAGCAGACCAAACAATATGTTACAGAATAGCAATTAAATAAGGTAAGTTCTTAATGTGACTCTAAATGTATGCTTCATTAAAGATTTGAAAGGGTACTCAGTGGGTAAAGCTGCTGTGCCTATACATAAAATGCTCCTAGATTGCTCTAGAGTGAAAAAAAGAAAAAAGGATTTCCCCTTCAGATTACTTTAAAATTGCAGTTTGATTACATGCAAATGACAACTAGCAACCCCAATTTTTTTTTTAACTGAAAGGGATAACAGCCGAATCGCAGGTGATCCTGTCTAATATGAAAACATATTTTTCTGGCACTGAAAGCATCATATTTGGTCATTTGTCAAAATATCCCCATATTGCTGTTTATTATATAACTGACTATTTATATTCACCAGGCTTATTTCCATGTTCATTTGAAGATACATACAAGCTGTCCCAATTCATTTTTTTTACTCTTGTACTGCATGGATTTGGTCTGTGTTGACGCAGCCGAGCCACTTTTTACCCAGAACGGTGGATGTGTTATGATAAGCCAGGGCGAGATTTCAGTGGATGACAACAGCTAAATGCGAATGCAGGCTGTGAAAATCAGCGAAGGAACCGTGACAATGGCCAAAGCTCTCGAGATTGACTTTGAAGCTCCGAGCTCGCACAAATGGGTCAGTACTGGAGGAAAGCCAGGCTGAATCGGCGAAGCGGAACAAGGTGAAATTTTCAGAATGGATTGTACCAGGCTATGCCTAGTTTCACCTTTCTGTTTATATTTCTGTGGATGTCGTAGACCACATCTGCTTTAAAATCCTGCTGCAACCCCCCTGCGGGTTCCTGTGGCAGGGCCATTTCTAACCTGAATGTAAAGCCAAATGAAAATAAATAGAAGTCGCCATTTCCCCCTGCACCTGCTTATGTGCAGCATGGCCACAACAGACTCCTCATAATCTCGCCTCTGGGAAATAAACCCAAGGCTGTTGGGGACTTTTTTGGGGGAATTCTGCAGCTATGGATATGTGCATGTTTCACGAGCTTATATATCAGCTTGGGGTGTGTATGAAAGGATGTATGCGTGTGCACTTGAACTCTTGATAAGTCCGTTTTATGTAGCGTTAACGTATAGTCTGTTTAACAGCTAAAATGGTCTCGAGGTAGTTGCAGTATATCACCAGATAAAACTGACTCTATCGAGTCAACCTCCAAGCTGCCCCGACCTTGTCCTTCCTTCCTGTAGCAGCAAGCGGCGGAAGCTGTTGTGTACTTTTACAAGAGGGGCCAAATCCCGCTACACATAGTGCTATTACCGTTCCCGTGTCTTATAACGGTAAACGATCGGGTGTGATTTTCTCATGTAGGTCATGCTTCGTGTGGATCCCCTCTCGATAAAATGATGGAAAACCTGTGAGACCTAGATCTCACTCAAGACTCACAGAAGACATTTGGTCCTTGTAAGCCTTTTTCACACTTTGAGTCCTTTCCACCATCAAACTACTCTGGATTGCGACCCCTTCCAGAATATTTACTCTTCGTTTTCCCAGGAAATTATCACAAAGGCTTGGATGAACAGATCTCAATAACACCGCTGGGAAAAAGTCGGGAATTAACCACTTAATTCCACGATGTACCAATACCTTTACACAGCAAATAATGTGAACACAAAACAGAAGTGAGGATTGTTGCATTTAAATACCATTAGATAAAGGTACGCTGATGTTATGAGCTACCAAAGTCATTGAAGATGTACAAGAAAACGTTTTGGAAGTTGGAGCAATTCATTGATTGGCCGAGTACACATACACATACAAGGAATTTGCCTCAGTTATTGAGCTTTCACCATGCATGCTTGTGTACACATTACAGCAAGAGGACAAGGACTCAAATAAGATAATATAGCATACATTTAGTAAGCTCCCTGGACAAAACAAATGTCGCATGACTCATTTCTTCACAAATACTTAGTTACGCCTCATCTTACCTTAATAACAGCTCTAATCCTGTCGAGTAAAGATTCCACCAGTGTCCTGTTAATTTTAGCCCAATCTTCCACTCACTGGGTTGCAGTTCAGCTAGGTTTCCCGTTGAGGCCTCTTTCAGTGTTTCACCCGCTGTTTTAAATAATCGCACATGGGATTTTATGAGATTGAGGACTGGTTAATTTGGAGGCCAGCCAAAGTGTCCCCATGTTCCATCAGGGTCATCAGATATTTTTCCCTCCGCAGTCTACAGTGAGTGAGTAGCAACCACTATTGTTGTCTCTTGTTGATGTACAGCTAGGGGCTAAAGTTGTTGGAGTCCACCCCTGGCGAAGGTGGACCTCACTTTGATAACCGGTTAATTCAAACAACCTGCAGGTCTCCTGACTTGGATATTATATAGTTGCACTGAGCTTCGTTGGGGTTTTATTGCATATAGACTTCTGCAGTAATTGACCTCTAAGCACTCCACACTCAACCTGTATTCGAATGCACTGCCCACAGTAGCATCTTGCTGTGTGCTCGCATTACACTCATTTCCATGCCAATAAATCTTACGTTATCAGCGCTGGACTGAGATGAGCATAATCATGCAAGTCGTTTAAAATCCATTTCACTAGAATGTGGCGAGAGGGTTTTATTGTCTCGTTTTAGCATCCCAGCCATGTCTCCACGACAGGCCCTCTTCTCGTGTCCTTCACTCTCCACCCCTACATCAGCCTCAGAATGGGGTATGATATTCAGATCTGACCTTCGGTGGTCATCTTCAGATCTGCCTGTGATTGGCCGTCAAATGGAGCTAATTCCACAGTATAAATCAGAGAGCGGCGCGGCCCTGGAAGCGTCCGTTGGGGCTGATTTACGGGCCACCTCAGCTCTCGGCCACGTTTGATTATCGCTAAATCTGTTTGCTATAAATCGGCTGTCACGGGACAAGCCAGAGAGACGTGTCGCATTTGAAGCAGAGCGTCAGTCTCCGCATGCTCCATGCGTGAAACAGAGGTTCAGCGATGCAGTATGCAGGAAGCTGTCATGTTTTTATTATTGCGACATGACTTGCAGTTTGGAAGAAGACAACGCTGAACGCTGGATAGTTTCACATGGTGCTCAGATACAGATTTCAAACACTGATTGAACTGTGCTGTCTTACAACGTCTGCCCATAAACCGGATACGGTATCATACAGTGTGTTAAACTGCAGTATTTTACACATTGTAACACAAAATATGTTTCCTGCTAATAGTTTAGAACTGAAAGATATGCTGTTTATATAGTTGGCTCCTGGATTTGAGGCAGTTTTCTTTTAAAGAAGATTTATATTGTTACAGCGTTTGGCAGACGCCCTTAATCCAGAGCGACTTACATTTACCTCATTTATACAACTGCGCAATTGACAGTTAAAGGCCTTGTCCAATGGTCCAACAGTGATAACTTTGCAGTGATGGGGCTTGAACTCCTGACCATCTGGGATCAGTAACCCAGAGCCTTTAACCACTGAGCCACCACAGCAGATATGTTCAGCATTTCCGTAAGGGGATTGGGGAATTCAGGGGGCTGGGCCACATATGCGCTATGTTTACAATCGCAGTGTCGGTGTGCAAATTACTAGAAGGTGGCAGTGTACCTGAAAACATTTCGCCATTGAAGATGTGTGCTAAACTGGCTTGCTAGCTAAGTTTGCAATTGTCAGGTAATTGTGTGTTTTGATGAGATTTTCAGCTAGTACATAATAATGTCAATGGAAAATCTTAACACTAATCTCTCTTGCTAGTTAGCTTTTACCCTGCTCTACAAAGCATCCAGAAGTCATTCCTTTTAGGCGAAGCGAAGCAACTGTTAGTGATGCAAAGTGAACAGGGGAAATCGGCACAACAAATTTGAGTGGAGTTTGACTTCATGTAAATGACAGTCAAAGTGATTTACCGAGTACCAACATGAGTGATTGACGTCGGTATGTTTGCCCCCTCCCCCCGTATTTGATTTACCTGAAACAGAAGCGCACCGATGGTTTCATCGTCCTTATGTCAGTAGATCAGGAACTTTTTAAGTTTTGTTAAAAAGTTCCAGAAATCATGCAAAGCAGTTTTTTTCATACACCATAAAGAATGATTCTGCCCATGGATCCATTTTATACACAGGTACCTCGAATGGTTGTCTTTGCATACATTCTGTAGCTAGTTTGTGTGAATATCACACTTGCTTTAAACTAAAGATAGGAACGCCCACACACGACCAGCGAAAAAGCAGATTGAGAGACGCGAGGTGAAAAATCACTGCTGGTGTTACCGCGAGGTTAGAAATGGCAGGAGGACATGGCGGATTTCTTTAATTGCATCTTCATGTATATTTATAGACCCAGTCATTTTTAATGAGGATGAAGATGCTTTTAGTCCATTTACTTTCTCAGGCATTTCAGATTTAAATCTTTGTCAGTGTACATGGATTCTGATGTTTTAAAACGACATGTTAAGTGCTACTCTAACTAGCGGGCTGATTTCTACCTTTTGACGCAGGTGTGTATTTTTTATCAGCACATTGCTGATTTGTAGTGACAGTTAGATGAGACCGAATCGGCCCGGGGTCAGATCTGCGGCCCTCTGCCTGCACAGTTTGAACTTTTAAACTGCATTTTGACGCGGCCTCATCGATTTCAGACCTTTCGCCTTGTTAAAAATGCCATTGAAATGTCATTGGATTTAATAGAAACTCTTTCCGATTTTGACATTTCGCTCCTCTCTGCCCCGGAGACCAATAAAGCTTAATAAAGCTCTTAAACAGACGGCCATGCAGCACCGAGGGCTTTGTGGATCCCGATGCCGTCGGCGGTGATACTCACCTGTTGCTGAAGCTCCTGATTAGCGTAAGTGGGTGTGAAATATTAAGGCTAGAAACTCTGCAAGGCAGAAAATCTCCACAAGCAGACTAAATGCCCTCGGGTTTTTAGCGCCCAAAGTTAATTGTTTTGTTTTGTTTAAAAAACGTCTCTCTTTTTTTTTTAATCAGTCAGTGATGATTAGGGAAGAAAAGCTGGTCCATTGTAGGCGAGGAGCTCTGTTTACGGAAGACTCAAACGTTTTTTTAAAAGCTTTGCGTATGTTTTGTATGTATTTGTTATTTTTGATGTTCACCTGTATGTGTGTGTGTGTGTGTGTGTGTGTGTGTGTGTGTGTGAACCCAAACCTCAAATCCACTTCCCTGTGATGTGTTTGTCAGGCCTGATATGCTGAGGAGCTGCATGTGTTTTACAGTGTGAACTGTACTTGGTAGGGATGCGTTAAAACTTAAATGAATTAAAGGATTTAGTGTTTACTTGAATCATTTTGTACTGCCACTGATGCTGCAAACATTAGTAGAAACTGACAGTTATTGCATAAACTATGAAAAGGTGAAAATTGCAAATGCAAAAACCACTAGCAAGTCAAAATATCTTCGATATGGACAGGAATGTCTACTATTTCTTTTCATAATACATTTTAATAACATTAAAACAAATTTAAGCTAATTAAGTCTAATTCTCGACTTTTTTTTAGTCAATTCAAACTTTCAAAATTCTCTGCTAATGTAATAAAAAAAATTTTAAAGCTTGAAATTATTTATTATTATTTTTTTTTTAAACTAGAAAATCCCCCAAAATAAGCTGAATAATCTTATCTGCTTCATAATGCTCTTATAATCGGAAATAATGGATAAATGTGCAAGATATATTCAAGATATTTTTGTAGCGTTTATTCTAAATGGGTTACTATTCACTATAGATAATGACTACATATGAGTACAATGTAAGTGTTGTAGAGCCTACATTGTGCTCTATACACGTGAATCCAGTAAGCATGAAGGGACCAAAAGGTTTCGTTTCAAAACATACTATGATAGGCTTTTATTTGGCAACTAAATGTGGAACATGAAAACAATCAAATGTGTGGGGGCTTTTTTTTTGTATAAGTGGATAAAATACTAAGAACAAAGAATTTCTCAGTATGACTAACAAGGAAATTCATTTTCTCAGCTTTAGCACTTTTTATTGGACAATCATTGGACGCAGCGTCTACTGTTGAGTCTACTGTCTATAGACAGTAAAACTCAAGCGTAGCGGAGAGAATAAGATCCAGATGTTGGAAATGTTCTTTATCTGTCGTCTGCGTGTTGGTGCCAGATGTAGCAGCAGCCACTCTGATTAAGATGCTGCTGGGGGGAGTGTAGAGATGCAAGCTGCTGGAAAGTGAATAACAGCCCAAATCTGCCTATCGAACAGCCAGGAGAGTCCAAGTCATGCAAAAGGCCTGGCTAGACAAACAGAAAAGGGGGGGGGGGCGGAAGTGACACCAGTTTTTCTTTCTCTATGGGCTTTTAGAGGCGAAGTGCCTCTGAAGAGGAAATGTGAAAACGTGTAACTGCTGGCCACAGAGTCATCTGTCTGATTTAAGTACCAGTGCTTGGCCCCCTTTTTTTTTATGTCTCTGCATCCAAGGCTAATCACTTTAGCTGTGCGCCCTGGATGTTCCAGATACACGCTGTGTTTATGAGCAATGCATTCTGGGATCAAGCTGTTCAGGGGCCACCTGCAATGTCGCTGCAACTTTTATCTGCTCGTTTCCTGTCATAATTTAATGGGAGGCTTGGTAACTTCGTTAAAGGTCAGGAGGAACAGGCGCTTGTGAACAGGCCCTTGGTGGGTAAGAGGGCAAATCTTAAGCACCTGCTCGTGGCTGGCAGAGACTCAAGATGCTAGCTCCTAGCCTGTGAGCTGATCAGTGAGCGCCTCGGAGGCAATGATGGATGCGTTTCACTTCTCTTTCACTCCCTTACAAGTTGTCCCAGTACCTTTTTTTGCCTCCCTCATCCACGGAAAGTTTGACAGGAAATAATGTGTCATTTTATTTTTCCCCTTTCTCTCTCTCACTTGTGCTACTAGCGTACAACTGGCAGACACGTTTTATCATTCCGCGCCGTGTCGCGCCGCTTCTCAATTTCCGCCCGGACTAACCTCGCAGCTAACCTCGGAGTCGTGCGCCGAAAAACGAGCCATTAGATACCTCTGTCTGCCTTTTCTAGCCCTGCTGCCACGCTGAACCCCAGCCTACGCAGGTATTAAAGGGCCTAATAAACTACACATTATGTCATCTGAGGAATGTACGTGCATTTTTAATGGCACAGAGAGAGAGAATAGGTAGTGAAGAGCTGAGACCGAGGGAGAGAGAGGGAGAAAAAAGCTTTATAGTCATTAGCAAGGCTGTTTGAGAGTATAGCGCTCAGTTGTTATGATCACTATATCAGATCTGCCATCGCTGTTTGGTAATTAAGCTCCTGCAGCATAGTGTGTTTTTTCTAGTTCTGCGGTTCGGAGGCCAGCGGCTCTTGGGCGGTGTGGAAAGAGCCACAGCAAACGAGGCGGCTGATTTACGAGCATGGCGCTGTGCTGAATGAGCACTCTGTCCCTGCAAATTGCTAAATTGAGGGGGTCTTTGCAAATTCCTCCCATTAATGGCTTTCCGTCACATGTCCTGATTAGGGATTCGTTATTTAATAAAGCAGTGCACAAAGAAGAGCTATGTGCTGCAGAAAACATAAAGAGCAAATGCTATATCACTCACACACTTCACTGCTGTAAAAGTTTGGAATTCCCCCAATTTCGGTATTTTAATTATAATGTACTTAGAGGAGAAGACGACGGATGCATTCTTACCAACTCTTTTTACAAGTATATCTACTTGTATGTTTTAGATGTACTATTTACATGTATACAGTTTCTATCAAGTATGCTGGCAAAATGAACTGATGATAGTGAGTAGTTGAACTATACACAGAGCGAACTGTTACAGATGGAATAACAGTGGTTGGTTGTATGAATGATTGGTTGTTGGAAACCATGGTGATCAGTGGTTGGTTTTTGGGAACAATGGTGATCAGTGGTTGGTTGTTTGGAGTAATAGTGATCAATGATTGGTTGTTGGAAACCATGGTGATCAGTGGTTGGTTGTTGAAAACCATGATGATCAGTGGTGGGTTGTTGGGAACAGTGGTGATTAATGATTGGTTGTTAAGATTAATAGTGGTGAATGATTGGTTGTTGGAAACCATGGTGATCAGTGGTTGGTTGTTGGGATTAATAATGATGAATGATTGGTTGTTGGGAACAGTGGTCATCAGTGATTGGTTGTTGGGAACATCGAATCTGCTCTCTCAACTGGTATAACCAGCATCTATGATGTGAACTGGGGAACAGTATTGAGTGCAGACTAACGTCTGCTGAAATGTTAGATTAGTCACAAGGCTTTTTAAAAAATAATAAAGGGGTCTAAAGAAAATCCCCAAATCTCACTAAGCTGGCAACACTGGATAATTGTATGAACAATTCACCATTTGTGTAGTTTTCTGGTGTGTATTCAAAAGCCACAATGGGCCCAAATTAGAACCAGCTGACCTTTTGTTTTTAGTTCTAGTTCATGTTTCATCGCTTGGAATCACTACCGGATTGGTTTCGGTTTACCTGAAGTATGCTGGCAACCTCT